ACTGATAGGTTACATTCACAGCTTTCATTAAACTTTTATGGAGTTCTAATACTTCTGCCAGAAGTGAACTTGGCCTTCAGCCTCAATGTTAAGCAGAAACAGAAAACAATGCTACAAGATGATGTGTCAAATCTACCACTCACACAAGTCAGGAGAATAGGATATGAATCTATATTATTTTTTAAGTTCTTGTTCACCTTTATTTTCTGATCACAGTAAGAGAAGAATTCATTTGGAAAATACTCAATAACTGGATAAAAATATCTCCTATTACCTATTATTATTATGTTTACACAATCAAGTCAAAACAGGAGGTCTAATTAATGGTACAGTTCTACCCAAACAGTATGCCAACATTCAGAATTACACAGGGGAAAAAATAACTGTGTTTTAACTGCTGTTTTCTAAGCAATTACACAGAGTTGATGACTTGTATGGAGATGTATAATCCACCCTAAGAAACAGAAATTCTCATCCCTCTGTGTGGACAAAAGCCCCTTTGCTTACATCTGCAGTTTAGCCTCCATATGCTAAACCAAAAGATAACAGATTCTTCTTAGCACAGATCTTTAAGGTTGTGTTCATTAAGGAGTACATGAATACAGGTTTTTGGAATAAAAAAACTTTTACTGTTCAATGAGCATTGCTCTGGCTTCCTCACCACGCCATTGTGCTGGCAGAACCGCTGTAAGAAACAGCTGGATATATGCACAAGGTTGCCCTGGTTCGCAACATCAGGTCTCATATAGGTATTTTGAGTGAGAAAAAGGGGAAAGAAGGAGATAGTTTTGGAACATAAGACAATAATATGCTTGTCTTTTTAAGGCTTGTGAGTCTCAGAAATTTCTGAGGAAAGGCCAAAGCAGAAGACACTGCAATTACAGGTTATTCCTTCTCCTGGCCTCACTGCCTTCAGGGGCCGTTTCCTTTGTGTGGCACAAGATCTGCACTTGATAGCATAGAAGAAACAACACATTGTAAATAGTGTTTGCTTTCAAACATACTTTTTAGAAATCAAAAGAAATGCTACTTGCTTTATGATAACTTCAATATATCCAACAGACTCCTGGCTTGGTTTTCGCTCAATTTCGCCTTGTAAAAAGAACTTCTCAAAAGGAAGAGCATATTACATTGGGTCTGTTCTCCCTCCTGCTGGTTAAAGACATCTGCAAATTCATCCCACTCCTTTACAGCTTCTAACAGGAATTACGACCAATTAGAACAATAGAGTTTCCCATCACAAACGTTAATCAGATTTTAACATCCATTATGCAAAATATTGCTCATTTGCTGAAAGCTTTAAAAAAAAAACACACAGACTCTAGCTTACAGCCACATTATCATCCCTAGCTCACTTTCCAAGTGACCATATCAACAAAGTAAAAAATGTTTATTTAATTAGCAGTTAGATTCCTGTGGGTGGAGGCAACATCTGTCTTTCCTGTCTGTGCCAGCATATTAATACAGCTTTTCTTGTCATGCCAGGACACTTTGAAGCATGTAACGTGGAGTGTGCCAGGATCAGCTTAAGTTTGAAAATGTTGTTTGCATTCAACAGCTGTGTTAAGATTTTCACATCTTTGTTAGAACCCATACATGTTTGGAGTGTACTGAAGCAAATTAGCCACTGCTATGGTTACCAAAAAAAAAAAATCGATATTGGTCTACCAAGCTAACTTTTGTCTAAAAAAATTGAAGCTGTTTACATCTACTTTTTAACCTAAGTTAGGAGAGAATTAAAAAACAGCAAAAAGTAAAATAAAATAAAATTTTATTTTTTGCTTCTTAGCAAATAAAATAAAATAAAATAAAATGCTATATTTTCTAGAGTGGCATTGTCAAATGTCAGAATGCCATTGAAGAAATATATGAACTACTGGTTATTAATATTCCTATCTGAAAGCTGTAGCCAACCTTCATATAATAGTGGAGATGAGAGAAAAATGAAAAGTACCTTTTGCTCCTAAAACCACAGTCAAGCACTGAACACATGCATCATTTCACGGCCAGCTCTTCTAGCTAACAGCCCCACATGAATCAGTTTCAGATCAGCAGAAGTGAAACATGCTTGACATGTTTCTGTATTGTCACTATTGTTGTCTTTGGTAAGCACAGAGACTTTGCTCTAGGTTTCCTGTAGAACCAAGATTCTGGTTAATGTTTTTTTAATAGCAGCTCTTCACTTTTGGTAGTAATGGGTAAGAGGTTCGTTAACCTTAGAAAGACTCCAAGATTCAAAACAGTGATGAAAAGTATTCTTTGGTCACTAACTGAGAGTGTGGTAAGAGACTTTCTGCTTCCCAATGGGTGGTGGCAATAGGATGCTTGGACACTGCCAAAAAGAAATGTAGTGTGACAGTGACAATTTCCATCAAAAAAGCAGTGTAAATGGAAGATTTGATGCTGGCTTCAAATTGATTGCACAGTACATTTTATTTTTGTAGGATACAGAGTGCACCAGTCTGCATTAGACCACTCAGAGAAATCTCACAAAGGAGTTCATTCTTCTGCAAGTTCAGATTTAGCGCATAAAGGGACCGTGTTCATTAGCAGAAATGGGTTGCTCTGGTACCTTCCAAACAAGGTACTTCCAAACAAGTTCACTGCATTTGGCAAATAGTAACACACTTTTTATTCAGAAGTGAAGCATTTTACAGAACGAATATCTCCCTAGAAGTGTCCACTATGAAGACATGCATGATAAATATTGTAGAATACTTTTTCTTGTATTTTTTTTAACAGAGGTACACATTTCAGAGAACTAAGAAATATCTTTCTAAGCCAAGAACGTGCCAACAAAAGGAAGATAAAGAAAAAGCACACCATAGAAGAGCTCAGACATCATTCTTGATTAAAACCTAACAAGAACTGCTGACATTATACTAAGTGAAAAAGGTCTCAAACTAGGGGAGCTACCCTCCCACCATTTGATTTCTCTCTTTTTTTTTTTTTTTCTTTCCAGAAAAAGAGGAGATTGTATCTAATTGAAAATCATTAACACCATGCTGACTGATTTATTTCTAATGGTGGATGCTAGAAGACAACAGGATATGAGACAAACAAGATAAGGAATTCAATCAGAAGTGTTAGAGCAAAAGTCTTTATTCCGAGTACACAACAACTAAGGCTAAAAGAAGTGGAAAGTTCATTTTGTGAATATATGACAGTCCTCTAACCAACAGCAGTGGAAGTATTGAGCTAGGTTGATGTCATCTTGGTAATACATGTAAATAAAAACACTGGTGAAAAGAAGCAAGTCATGATGGACTGAGTGGCTTTTGTTCAAACCTCTATCCAGTTTTTAATATTTTAACCACCCCCTACAGCTAAAGAGGGTTACTGTGTGTTACTAAAAAGGAAGGAGAGAGAGGTCTGCATGTTTGCCTTTTTGCAACTATCTGCTATTTACATGAGAAAAACAAGACTGGTTTGACTGGAAGGTGTCCTGCCAGAGAGACTATAACCATGCTCAGATAAGTCTTAAAATATCTAACGGTGTCCATTCTGATGAGTATTTGCTGCAGAAATGAGCAGCCAGTAAACCAGAGAAAATATAATATGATTCAGTTTCTGTGGAAAAAAAAATTGAAAGCTGTTCCAAGAGACTAAAGCAAATATCAGTGCAGCAACCTCTATAGTGACCAAAGTCATATATTTATCTCTGAATCATGTATTAAGTTCAACAAAGGAAAACAAAAATATGGCAGTGAAAGAGAAGAAATGTGATAAGGGATGAAAAGTCCAACTGACTCATGTAGCACAAGTACTAACTGTTAAAAAGTATGGTAAGAATGAATGAGTCAACTAGTTCCCCTTTAAAAAATGACAAAATGACCAAAAGAGCTCATTATGAAATCTTATGTAAATCGCTTACTTTGGTTTTCCACAGCAAATTTTTCCCAAGTTGGGAACAACTACTAATACTAAAGTTACCTTATATTTCTCTCAATAGTTTTCAATGTTATCTGAGTTAAACAAGTTGGCCTTAAATTTGACATGCAGAATAACCTCTTAGGAAAGATGTTTTGGGAAAAATAATCAGCCAAATGATCTGAGTGTTTCCTAGAATGAGGCTAGAATAATAATAATTTTCCCATGATTAAAAATAAGGAAAACAAAGTAGAAATAGAATATATACTTTGGAATATTACTATACCATTTAGTTTTATTTTACTTTGGGAGGGGTGAGGGCATCTTATACCAGGTGTATGCTTCTTGTTGGTATATCAAAAATTCCAACACACCTGAAAATCTTTAGAGAAAGTACATGAATACCTGGAAAACAAAGTATTCCCCAAAGTGCAGATTCCATACTTGCAGTAAATAGGAGGATTTCTGTAAGGTCAGTTGTCTTTGACGTTTTTACTGCTCTGGACTTTTAAAGAAGAGATTAATGTTTTAAAGAACAAATTAGACAAATATCTGCTGAGAATTTACCCCAGTGTAAATTGGAATCTCTATATTCTTAATGTCCCTTCTGGCATTTAATGTTGAGGATTCCATTCAATATCCTGAATTGTAAAACATTTCAATTAATCTACAAGCTTCCTTATAAAAGAAAATTCTGTAAAACAAGCTGAGTTCCAGAAGGTTTCTTCTATTGTCATCAGCGATTCACTGATGGAGCCACTTAGCTGCGGTTTTTCATGTAGTTATCAAGTCTTTTTAAATTTGTGAGGCAATAACCTCTATACCTAACATGCTACAAAAAAACAAGATCTCTGTAAGTCCATGCCCCTTAAAGCCATGACCACTGACAGAAATAACATGGATATCCCTTAAGCACACCATCTCCAGCAAGAAATATATGCTCTGCTTATACTTCACAAAATTAAGTTATATGAATTAAGTTCATATAACTTAGAATAAAAATTAGAGAAGAAATAGGGAAGCTCCAGATAGCCTATGGTAACTATTAACAATGAAATACACATTTCAGGCTAATTGTTTTTAACACAATATGCACTGCTATAGATAGAGAAAGATAGGGTGCATGGTACCTCATCTAAGCACTGAAATGCAGGACTCGCTGTTACATCAGTTGATCCCTCATCTTGGGCATAAACAGTTGGAGCTAGTGCACAGATGGGTTGCTCCTCCTTGATTTCCAATTCTGTGTCACTAGAACTGGAATCTTCACCAGCCTGACTCATTTTTTGAAGCTCTAGGAAGTAAGAGAATACCAAAATTCAGTTAATTAGATCCTGGGATACACGTGACTGTGTAAGATAAACATGTAATGTAAAGAACACAACATCAACATGGGAGACCCACATTCAAACAATGAAAGCCAGAATGCAAGCAATCTGTCTGGGTCCACAATCATAACTGCATGAAAGACTTCTTAAGAGTCAGCATTATCCCTCCATCATTGTCAACTGTTGACTATGCTACCTTTATGTAAATATTTGAGAACACAAAAAAAAAAACAATATTTCTTAAAGAGCAGGCTTTGAATAACAGAATCAGGTTGGAAAACACTTCTGAGGTTATCTAATCCTCTCTCCTGCTCAGAGCAGGGCTAACTTCAAATCTAAATCCAGATCCTTAGGGCTTTGACTAACAAAGTGTTGAAAATCTCTGGAGATCCCAACTGTTGCCTTCAGGTAGATGCTTATAAAGGAAATGTCCAGGTGGATGGTGGTGGATCTTCTCTCTGCCATCTCCATAGGACTAATGAACGAATGTGCTTTCTCTTTTCTCCACCCAGCATAAACCCACCCTTTAAGTTGTCCCCTGACCTTGCAGGCAGCAAATACATAGGAAGGGAGCCCCTTCACAGAACACAGAGGTCTTGAGAACAAGACAGTCTAACTTTTGTGAGCAGTATCATTAAAATTATTTGTGTTTCTAAGTCATTGCATTGTCAAACTTAGAAAGACAAATAAATAAACAAATAGACCAAAAACCAGCACCACCAACAAAAAACAACAAAACAAACCAACCAAACAAACAAAAAACACATGCAAAATAAGAAAACATGGAATAATATCTGAGAACAGAAGGTAGAGAAATACTGGAAAAAATAATTATCCTAAGATCTCTTCATGTCAGAGTTCTTATGTAGCACACTAACATTTCAGTTATGGAGCAAGTCGCATTTTTAGCATCCATGGCCTGTGCTAAAATAATATGACCTTGAGAAATATCCAAGTGAACTGACTACTCGAGGAAAATCTTACAGGACTGAAGTAGTATTTTGATCTCTAGAGCGTGGTAGGATCTGGTTTTTGGTTGGTTGGTTGGTTGTTGTTGTTGTGTTCTTTTTCCAAAAGACAGAGTGCTAAAAGAGGCTAACATGAAGATTTTATAAACATAGCTTTAGTATAAACTTTATCCCAAATTAGAGAAAACAGTTCAAGAACAAATACATAGAGAGAGAAATAGAAGAAAGTTGGAATAAGAGTTTTTGAAAAAGATAACTTTCCTACAATTATGTCTGGGCAAATCCCACCTTCACAGCTCTCCTGAGGAATAGAAATCTCCAAGATCCCTGCACTTAGAACAGCTAGACCAAGGGCATTTTCTTCTGAGCAAGGTGAGACCTAATGAGAAGTTACTATAACTTTATGTAATTTCATTTTGTGGTTATGATCCCAGATCAGTACTTCAGGACTATGTTCTGAGGCATCAATTGTCAGAACTGTCTGAGGCACGTGCAAATGCAAAGCCAGAACAGGGAATGGGAGGTTGAATATGAGGGACACGATGCTCCTGGCACCTCGATCGGACACAGCAAGGTCAGTCAGGTCCATACTTGTCCTGATATCAAATATTAATAGCTGACAAAAACATCTTCTGATGTAACAGTATCTTAAAGAGTTTTTTATATTCAGAATTTTAAAATATTGACCTTTTGCATGAAGGTGGCACAAAACCAGACAAATGTTTTAGGAGAAAGTTGTATGAGATACAGAATGTCCAGAATCAATAAACATCTTACAAAAGGAAGAGAAGGGATGGAGAACCCCTCTAGCACGCAGAAGTCTAGCCATGACATACTGAGATAGGGAAGCAAGTATGTTTGTAGAGCAAAACACAGAGTAAAGTGAAGACAGGGCATATATGGAGGAATTCAAGCATTTCTTCCCAAATTCACGACAGTGAATTCAGTGAATTCACTACTTAGAATGACAATAGTTTAGTTCAAAATTTTGGGAGAAAGATTGCTGATGGCTGCAAGTGTTCACCTGACTCTATTGGATCTTTCTAGAGTAACTATTATCCAAAGTAACTACTATGCAGAGAACATTGTATGCTGCTGTAGTACAGTCACAATAAAACTCCTATCAGCTGCCAAAATGTAGGACTTAAATAATATTATCTTGACAGCATTCAGCCATTCACATAGCATATGGGGAAACTTTTCTCCTTTAAAAAAAAAAAAAATTAATCATAAATCAAACAGAATCAAAATTAAAACGATAATAAAATCAAGGAAGGTTTTTGTGACTATGGCAATAGTATATAGAGGGCTTCTCCAATGAAACAACCAGAGTCATTTTATGTTCCCAAACCAGAAATCTGATGGTTCAGAAAAATGTGATTTCTTTATACATCTGTGGTGGGAAAATGGATTAAAAAAATGTTGTGCTGTGCATAGCCACCTTTTGAAAAATCAGTTGTCTGTAAAGGTAGTGAAACTTGTACTGAAGTTTATGTTGGAATTTCTTCAAGAACAGTTTGACTTGTAGAGAGATTTCAGCAGCTGTATTTGCTTATGGAAAAAAAAAAAAAAAAAAAAGCAATTTCATGATCTCTCCTGAAGGAGTCAAAACATTGTGAAACAACTGCAAACACCACAGAGGCCAAGAAATAAACTCTGAAGCACTGTACGTAAGCATGTATACACTATTGCTAAAAGAGAGTTGTTTTTCACCAATAAAAGTGCTGAAATTTTTAGAATATGCATTTCATGTTCATGTCTGCTGCTGGTGCTTTTGTGACTGAATATATTGGAAGAATTTAGGAAGTGGGAAAAGTACAAGTGAAACTCTAAACAGAGAGATGCCAAAAATTGAGAGCTTCATCATGTAGGCATTTTTGTTCATACTTGTATGAGAACCAGACTTGATGCAAATCAAACATTTGCAGTTGATGCAAGATAACACTTCTTCAGAGAACGGTAGTACAAAAAAGTCTTTGCTAGAGACTCCAATTTGCTGGGCAGAAAGAAAATAAAAACAATCTCCTGGATATATACAAGTTTAAAACATAATGATAAGACACAAATACAGACACATCAAACAGAGGAGAAAAATTAGCCTTAGCTAGTGTGATAAGCACTAAGAGGGAAGGGAACGGAGTTGCCTTTTCAAAATATTAGGAAGTGGTACTGTAACAAAAGATATGCAAAGTTTAGCATTCTTCAATTACCTACTACGGAATTAAATTTAAAATCTAACTTACAGAAAATCATATATGTAAAATTCAAAAAGCAAAGTGGGAAAATTATATTTTTGTAGTATGTGATAAAAGGTTTAATTCAAATAGAAATGAAAGCTCGAATTACTTATAAATATTCAGAATAGTTCAATAAACATGGATGTTCTCAAACTCTAGAACTGCAAATAATACCAAGGCCTTGGAATTACAAGTCCATTTTAGAACCCAGGTCAAATCACACTGAGAACTGTCTTGTGAAACAGCTTCAGGACAGCAATAACAAAAGTCCAGAATCAGATTCCCAAGATGAATTCCAGCACCTTTATTTCAGTACCTTTCCAGCAAACAGCAGCAGGGTCATGCTTAGCTGCATTGGCTCTTTCCAGTATGACAATTGCAAAAAAAATAGTAAAATTAATAAAATTGCATTCTGAACATGAAGAGATACAGCTCTGTGTATGCAGGTGGATCAGCTAGACTAATTAAGAAGACACAGAACTTGTAATAGTCTCTGTTGAGGGAAGTACACTTCAAGCAATTGACTTCATTAACATACAGCGATGAATCCATTAAGCCTTATCTTAATTCCTTGCATTTACTAAATGAATTAGAAAAAGATTCTAGTTCAGAAAAGTGTCAGTAAGATTTTGATATTAGTTACCCAGTCTTACCCTTCAAGCCCAACCAGAATGTGATTTTTTAATTTTAAGCACAATGAAAAAAATACATAAAGCACACTATTTTTCTCTAAGCCATTGTTACAGGAATAAAGATATGATTTCATTGTTAGAGTAACATCAAATTGTTTATGTTGTTATTGCTGGAGACAAAACCTGTTGTACGATGAAGAGAATATGTTATATTAATGCCTTTTAAACTGTTTTATGAAAACTTGTATATATGAATGTATATTCAAGTTCATTTATACTTCCAATCTGATAACTTCTGAGACTCTGAGGTCTGTGAAATGAATTAAAACAATGAGCAGTTATTTGTACAACTAGGCTAACTCCAGTGGACATACAGATGCAGCTTATTACTAATATTGGATGTAGGTTCACAGATGGATTTATAGATGTACATTATACATTGACATGTGTGCTACTTTCCTTCATTATGAAAATTTAATTTCTTAAGCTATTCCCTCACTCATTCTTTGCTGCCACACAAAACTGATATTTCATTTAAACCAGGTTAGTTAAATTGGTATAGACTGGCATGTAAATGTTCCAACCTACCAAAGGCTATTTTTGTTTAATACAAGAACACAAGTCTAAGGTTTAGACAAGTTTAGATGAACAGGTGCAAAGTGAAACTAGGTTGAACTGAGGCCATAGACATGGATCCCCTTCCATAGCCAGCTGCTGGATGTTGTGCACCTTTCCCTTCTTTTGCAGGGGGGTTCCTTCCTTCTCTCTCACCACTGATCTTGAGAGGAATGGCCATAGGATTCGTTTCTCAGGTAAAATCAGCTAAGGAAGCCTGAATATTTTCAAATCAATGATATGAGCCTAATTGGCTAATTTTGCTAGAAGTCAGCCACATTCCCATCTGTCCTGCTCAGAGAGGCAGAGGCAGCACCCAGAGCAGGAGACAATGAACAGAACAGACGAGCTACTGGGCATGACACAGGGTATCTATCCACATTTTTATGCTGTTTCCTTTTGCACATAGACCTTAACAAATAAACGTGACTCTGAAAGCAAAACAGCTGACTGAGTGCTTTACACTGAATGAGTAAGAAAAAAGGTACACAATTCAGCTGGAACATCCAAACAGTGATACCTAGAAAGACCCAAAGCCAACACTGGGTGCCTGGGGGCAGGCAGAAGAATCCTTCAGTCACAGAATAGTGATGCTTCCCCAAACTCATCCACTCTCCCCTTAAACTCATGCAAAACGTTCAGTATCTACAAAATCTAAGGGAATGGAGTCTCTCACCTCACCCCTGCGTGACGTGAATAATCAGTTCTTTCTGCTTGCTTTGAATCACCTGGTTCTTTTACTGCATGAGTCACTGAACAATCTCAACCTTTCTGTGCCACTAGGCGTTTTCTAGCACTGTCTCTTCATTTGGTAACCCTTTCTGTAGGCTGAAGAATCCAACCTACCTGCTGTTACCGATATGAAAGCCCTTCCCTGCCTCCTACTGTCCCTGTGATCTTTTCCATTTTTTCCATATCTTCTTCAAAGAGAAGGAAAGAGACAAGATCTGCAGATGTTATTGGTAACAATAACATCTGTGTACCGTGGGTTTATTCAATAGCCAATTGATGTTCTTTTTATCCCCTAAGATCTTATTTCTTAATGCTTGTTTCCTGAAGTTGAAGTTTACAGTCTGGTAAATAGCAGGACCTCTGCTTTAACTGGGCAGAGCTAGTGCTTCAGCATGAAGGGCTGAGCCCTTAAAACACAAAGCTATGTCAACATTAAGTGATAGCTGAAATTAAAACTACATAGTATACAATAGGGTATTATACCTGTGTAATTCAGAGTGATTAGACTGTACAGTTCCATAGACAACTATTTTGGGGAAATGGCAGCACCCTGCGTACCTAAATTGCTTAACGATTTCTGTTGTGAATACCCTTGTTTCTGTTTGTTTTCAACTCCCTGCTGTTTGAGATGGAATCACCCTGAGCCCCCCACAGACGTTAGCTGCTGGAGTTAGATATGGCTAAGATAAGGAGGACTTGAATGGTGAGGTTTGTCACTTCCCTTTTCACTTGGTTTCCATGCGGAACTTACTTTCCTCAGAAAATATCTGGTAGTGTGACAAACAAAAAAACAACCCTGAAATCCAAACCCCTGTGTGTTCCAGAGACAGCCTCTCTTTGCCACCCCTGAGCAGAAACTGTTACCATCACTACACACCCACTAGATTACAGAGGAAAACAAACAAAAAAGCTTTGCCTACCCACCAAGCCCAACAGATGACTTATTAAGAAATAAGAAACTTCAGGGAAGGAGTTCAGAAAGATGCTGAGAAATCTAAATTGCCAGCTATGACAAATGGATTAAAAAAAAAAAGTCATAAAAATATTTCACAGTAGAATTGCATAGGAATTTTTAATAAACTTTAAAACAAAACAAAACAACTATATCCTGACACTAAAATTCTTAAGCTTTATGTGAAGGAACACTGATAAGCAGCTAGCCCTGTGTGTGGTAAACTTTGCTCAAACACTTTCTGTTAACTTGATCTGTTAACTTCATTTTATTTTTTTTTTGAGTGTTCCTTTGGGGACCTAGGAGTTGGACTCGATGGTCCTTTTGGATCCCTTCCAACTTGGATATTCTATGATTCTATGATTAACATGAAGTGTTCTTGCAGGTAGGAAACTCAGAACAAGCATAACATCAGCAAGAATACCCCTACAGGGTATAATCAACTGGAAATCAATCAAGAGCATGAAAATAAAACTGAATCAACATTATAGCCAAAATATAGACGGCATAAGTAAAACTTTAAAAACCTTAAGTTTAGTTTATATGAAGAAAGAACTCTTCCTAGCAGTTCCTCTTTTTCAGGGTGTTTTATTTTTTTTCAGTATTTATAAATACATTTTGAAGGACGTTTAGGTACCTAGCATGTATCTAATGCAGAGAAGGAGGAAAAAAAAAAAAAAAAAAAAAAGGAAGGCAGAACAAAACTGCGCTGCACTTAGCCAGGGTTTTGAACTCTTCTGGTCCCCGCGGCAGCGAAGGGGACTCGCGGGGCCGGCTGCCACCCGGCGGCAGCGCCTTGTCAGCGCCTTGTAGAGCCTTGCAAAGCCTTGTAGTGCCTTGCAGTTTTGTAGAGCCTTGTAGTGTATTGTAGAGCCTTGCAAAGCCTTGTAGTGTATTGCAGAGCTTTGCAGAGCCTTGTAGTGCCTGGCAGAGCTTTGCAGAGCCTTGTAGCACCTTGCACTGCTGGCTCACTGCTGCTGCCTCAGCAGCTTGTGCAGCGAACAGGTAGATTCAGTATTCGGGCTCAACAGCAAAAAATCCTTAATATATATATATATATATATATATATATATATAGTATAGTATATGTGTATTTCAAAAATCAACTATTTCTAAAGACCTGGAAAAATTCACATCTATCCCTCGTCTCATCCCAAGGTATTTCATGGTTCATTTTTCACTCTCCAGAATCCCATTCCTCCGCACTGAGCCAGCGTACAGCCTGACAGGCCCTTTTTGGGTTTCATTTGATGATTCTTGAGGCTGAGCAATGCAAAGCAAAGCAGTGAGTGAAGCGGAGAGCTCTGCCGGTCAGCACGAGGCCTTACCGAGCCTTCCACTGAGGAAATGACCGCCGGACAAGGAGCGCCAGGGCCGCCTTCCTCCCTTGGGCTCACAAATACGCAACCTGTGAGATAGAGACAGAGACAGACGTGAGGGCAACGGGACAGAAGGAGCTGGGTGAGCACATGCCCTATTGGGTGGCTTGTAGGGTTATTTGGGGGGAAAAACACCCCCCACACACAAAATGGCCCCATGGGGTGTAAAAGGGAGGGCCCAACAGACATCCCCGGGTTTCATTAGCTGTTGTGGTGTGGCAGCCTCTTTCTGTGCCCCCCCTCAGTGCTCGGGGGCACGGCCCAGCCCTGACCCCACAGAACTCCCCAGACCTCCCTTTATTTAAAAAAAACCCTGTACAACAGCACCGCGGGCTGGGGGGAGCACAGAAAGCTTTTAGCTGAACCCAGGGGCTCCCCCCTCATCTACAAGCCTCAGAGAACCGTTGTTTTTAAGGTGATTTATTTATGGAGGGCTCGACAAATGTGGTGCCCCCCCCCCCCCAACCCCTGAGGCGGCCGCTAGCCCCCCCACCCCCCCCCGCCTCACCTGCGCTCCCCCCGCCCCGCCCCTCCCGCCGCGTCCCCGTCCCCATGGCAACGCGAGCCCGCCTCCCCCCCTCCCCTCCCTTCCCATTGGCTCCAGCCTCCGCCCAATAGCGACCGAAGGCGAGCCCTCCCCTCCCGCCCCTTTCCCCCCCCGCCGCCCAATGGGAACACCCGGGTAGTTCCGGCGAACTACGACTCCCAGGAGCCTCCGCGATGGAGGCTCTCTTGGCATCACGTGACCTTGGCGGGGAAGGGACAGTGGAGGAGGAGGAGGGGGAGGAGGAAGGGGGGGGCTCCGCCATGAGGGCGCTGCGGGCGGGCTGCCGCTGGTGGCCCCGCGCCTGGAGCAGCTCCTCCGCCGCTCCCGGCGGCTCCCGCAAGCCCTTGAAGGAATGGGAGCTGGCGGTCGGCCCGCGGGGGAGGCTGCGGGTGCGGCTGCCCTGCGAGGTGAGCGTGCGGCCGCTGGAGCCGCGGAGGAGCCCCGGCTCCGAGCGCCGGCTGCTGGTCACCGTCCGCGGCGACAGGCGGGACCCGGAGCGCGTCCGGGTGCGCTACGACGAGGAGCTGCAGCTCGCCGCCATCGCCGCCGACGGAGTGGGCAGCGGGGCCGCCGTGGAGGTCCGGGCGCCGGCTCAGTTCGGTGGGTGCTGGGTGCCCCTGCCGGGTATTTGGGGAGCCTGAGGGTGGGGGTGGCTGCGTGGCCCTTCTCGGGGTTAAAATAACCTGGAAGGAGCCGTAGCATAAGAGATGAAATGCCAAGGGCAGCTCTTCTTCCTAGTGCGAGGCGCACATCATCGCTTTGCCACAAGGGGAAAGGCTGGGCAAGGCTTCTCGTACAGACAAACCACTTCTGGGAGCCACCACAGCCGCTGGTACCAACAAACACCAACCTACAAACCCTTCCTGAGGGCCACCATCACCGCTGGTAACAGCAGACATCCCAACCGAAGTGCTGATGGTGGCCATAAGTTTAGGGATGGCAAAGGGTGAGCTTGCTGGGATAATTCCCCTTGGTGAGCTTAGGGAGCTGTTGAGCCTGGGTTTTGGTGGTTGATGTTGTACCCCCCATCCTGCTGCTTTATTTCTTCTGATGCTCTGCTGCAGCTGTGCTATGAGATGTGGTGAATAATCCCATCCAATTTACACTTAATGTGTGTCATCTGTGAGGTTCTTGGACCACCGCGTTATGTTTTCTCGGTTACTGCTTTTCCTAACTGCTACAGTAAAGGCATTCTGAGCCTTTCATCTTTTTACTTATATCTGGTTTGTCTCATTTAGGACAGCCATACTGATTCATGCTATGAATCCAACTAGCTTGCTCTCCTGTCTCCAGCAGCAGGCATAAATGGATGCTCAGGGAAGGAAGAGTAAGAACAGGACAAACAGCCAAGCGTGCTGTCAGCTGTTTTCAGCTTGGGCATCTTCTGGGCCTGGTATAGCTCAGATACTCAGTGGATTTCTCTTCCAAATGCTTGCCCATTTACACGTGTGAACAGCGCCATGGTAAAAGCTTGCTGGCAAACTCCATGCCTTTTGGCAAAGAATGCCCTGAGGTGTACTGTCCATTGAACTGCTATTTTCTTGCACAAGTGTGCAGTGTTCCAAGATCTTCTGCAATTTGACAGTTTTAATAATTCTGAATAATTTAACTGGTGAAAAGTTTTCAACCTTGCTATTCGTACTGATTTCTGAGTTCCCAAAGTGTTGGAGATGATGCATAATTTATAGTTAAAAGTCAGAAAGCAATCCAGGACTTTGTCAAAGACTTCTGAAAGTCCAAGTTTGTTTGGGAGCAGATCAAATGTTATCAGTGTATTCGTTGCCTCTTTCACCAAACAGTAGTAGTGTCATGAGGCAGGAGTGTTGCTTCTTGTAGATTCAAGTCTTCCCTAAGAGTTATCTATCTGCTACGTTCTTATTTTCTTGGCTTTTTCTGGTTGGTTTTCTTTTTCCTGCTTGGCACGTACAAAGATGACATTGGCCTCTCTGTAGCTTACTAATAGATTTCATCCCAGGATTACAAACAGTCAAAACAAACCCTATCATTCCATTCATAACCCTTCACTTCTCTGACAGCACTTGTCTGTTTATTGTAGTCCTTTAACAGCAATTTTATACTTTGTTTTCTAAAGGGTATTTGAGTGACTATTTTGCTACTTCATACTTGTTACTCTTTTTTTGCGGGATGCTGGAAGAGAGTTCATTGTGTTTAGGCCTGGAAAATCTCAGCCTTCATAAAGAGCTTGAATGTGGAGAACCTCCCTCAAGGCCTTAGTAATGAATTCTAATAGAAATAATTCATTTAGCCTTTGTCATGTTTTGAGGTTATATTCTTATTATACATTGAACATCAACTAACTCAGCAGACAGTCCCAGTCTTCTTCCTCCTGACACTCTTGAGATTGGCTTTATTGGCTTATAGGTTTTTAAGCAAGTCATTCCACTTAGTTTTGGGATAAGATCACACAATTTGGGTACCGTGTGCAGTCTGTGGATTATAGTCACCTTCTACTACCTGGTAATTGTTACACCATAATTAGCACAATGTTAGTATTGTCTCTTTGTGCTCTTATCTAGACGTATCCAGATATAAATCTCTTGATGTAAATATTTTTTATACTTAGTGAAGCTATTTGCCCATAAGGTTCCACTTCAGCTCTGGCATGTATTTTGGAATCTCTGAGTAGTAGCTTGTTTTTGGGTTGTTCCTTTTCCTGTGGTAGGAAAGAAATGTCCATTAAACATCAGTGCACAAGATCTCACTCCTTGGAAAATGCATCTCAGACTACAAATAGTATCATAGAAGGATCTGGACTCAAACAAGCATACAATCCAAATCACAGGAATGCTTTGATTAGAAAAGGCCCTTAAGATCATGAAGTCCAACAATGCTGTAAGCATTCCTCTCTGAACACTGTGGCTTTTCTCTGGCCTTCCTTGCCCACGTGAGGGTGTTGGCCCTGTTCTGTTTAGACTGTTTTATCTCAGCATTTTTCTGTCACCAGACTGTAAGAAATTGAGAAGTCGATGTGAATGTCCTTACGGTATTCTAGCTAGTTTCCTTTTTAGAAGTGAAAGCGTTTCATAACAGCTTTTGCAATTCAGGTTGGAACTTATCCAGGAAGCTTTAAGTTGGTTAAAACTCCACAGAACCTGATGAACATTTGCAGGAGGTGCTGGATGAGAAGTTTAAATACACACCTTAAACCAGAGGCAACTGGAGTTAACCCTACTGGGCTGACTGCCGAAGGACCCTCTGTTTCTGTTCCAGTGGCTAGTCTTGTGCTGTGCATAGTCTTTCAATATCCTACTCACTCTGACCATCCTCTGACACATTTTACCTTCACAGATGATAGATACTGATGAATTGCTCTTAAATCTAGCAGATTTTTTTATTTATTTTACTTCAGGTTGTATACATCTTAGCTGTTTATTCCTGGACAGGGATGGTGTGGGCATATAACTGTAGGTTGTGAGTCTGCTCATCACGTGAAGGGAATCCCACTTGGCATCTAGAACAGCATGTGCTGACTAACCCTGGAACCAGCTAGTTCTTGTTAGTGTATGTTGACTAACTCCTTGGGTAAAGCAAAATGAGGTCTGGCATAACCAGAATTTGAGAATCATCCTTCTTTTCTGCCTATGTAGTTCTTTTGTTTAGTTTTAGTAGGTATGTATTGTTATAATTATAGGGTAATTCACGTTTGATAGGGGCCTCAGGAGGTTTCTAGTTCCAGGTTTTGAAAACCTCCAGGGATGAAGACTCTACAACCTCCTTTAACAGACAGTTCCAATGCTCTTCTGTATTATACCCTGGGGAAGGGAACAGCAAAGTCGTGTAGGAGAACCATCAAGTCTGAAGCAGTGGCCAAGCTTCCCTGAGTAGAATACCAAAATTCTGTCCCCTCAAGCATTCCAGGCCTAGGCCAATTTAAGAAGCCAGTGGTGTATTTTTGTTTGGTTGTTTTTTTTTTTTGTCTGGTTGTTCTGGTGCCAGCTCTCTCCTTGTTAGAACTTAACTATTCCACATGAGCCTTATGTAAAGCCCATAAGATCACTTTCATCTTTGTTTAAATACTGTAGATTCTTTCAGACTTAACTAGGCAAGCTGAAGGCATGTTTGGGTCTTGAAAGCTGCTGTGACTCACCAATATCATAAAATTATGTTATCACTTAAAGATTTTTTCATCCTACTTCTGAGGGGAGAACCCAGGATCCTGGGAATACTTGTTTCTGCTTTTTGTTCTTTTGTAAATGTACTGGAAAACGGATACATTTTCAACAGTGTATTTTCTTAAGTCTTAACATATTAACTGAGTTAAGAAACAACATCACTGGTCTCTATTCCTGAACAGGACAGCCTCAGAGCAGCAAATACAGTAATCTGCTGCCCTCAGTAAATAGGACTGAATTATCTTAACAAGTATGGTCATGTACTGGTAAGCTTCCCATACGAGCAGAGAATTGGATCATCATGAAGTATTTCTAGTGGTTCAGTGCTAATGAGTCACTTTGAAACATGCTGATAACCTATTTATTTTAAATATTATAGGTTAAGGTGGTATTTCTGGAGTGCCTCTGCCTACAGTCTCATACCACAGGTCTTTTTATTCCCGTACACATTTATTTTCAATGCAAGTCCTCTGCACCTTAAAGATCTTTATGCATTCTTCAAGCCTTGTGTGGCTGAAATTGGCTGCAGCCCTCAGCTTTGCCAAGGAGAAATCAGACCATTTGCAGAGCTTTGGCACTGAAATGGATTGTACCCTATTCCTCCTTTTTTGTCGACTTTCTGTTAGCAGTATTATCCAGCTCTTAGCCTGCCTCTTCTGGGAGTCACTTATTCTTGCATCAGGAAGCCTGTTCACATGACAGGCATTCCTTGTCCACTAACTCTTCCTCAATAAGGCCAGCAATACTGTGACTCTGGAATGTGTGTTTCCAGGCCAGAAATGCTGTGTTTCTTAACAGCATGCACGTGAATTCATGGACTTCTGCATCCTGTTTTGGCACAGATCTTTGGTACATCTGGGAGTACATTGCTAATCTACTTTTCATATAATGGCTGTAATGTACCAAGCAGGATCAGAAGTTTTTGTTGTTTTTACTCTTAGCAAATTCTCATTAAGCTGGTATCATGGTTGAACTGACTGTTCTTAAGCCTCCTCTTTTTTTTTTTCTTGACAGAAGTAACAAGAGCTAGAAGCTGCCATGCTGATGGAATTTAAAGGCTTGCACAAGCAAACTGCCTTTGTGTCTTATCTGAAAGCAAGGTAGCAAAAGCCTTGGATATAGGCTCTCCCGATGACCATGCAGTTTTCCAGTGGGTGAACTGAGCAGTTTTGAGCAAGACAGCTTGTATTTCAGAAACAATACTATTTTCTTTTTCAAACTCTCCAGGTTTATGCTGTACAGGGACATGCTGTTTCAGGCTCAGATGTGTGTGTCTCTATCAGTGTCTTTCTGCGAACTGCATTTAAACAATCCAACTACTTCCCAGGAAAGAAAACACTTTGGAAATGTCTTGCCTACACATCTCAACAAGTTAAAAGCCTGCAGATCAGAATTGATCAAATTGAAATAGCTCTCATACCACTCTGATATTTTTAGTCTGGTGAAACTACCTCAGCTTTGCCAATATAAACATTGTTATGCTGGCCCTCCAGCCTCTGTTAGTCACCAATCCCTTCTCAGCATCCTTTTGTGCTTTTACATGCCTCAATTTAAGAATTTAAGAAATGTGCTGTCAGGTAAAGTCTTGGTCACACTATCACTTTCTTGGGGATCCATGCATCTCCCTCTTTCTCTGTGAGGAGGCTAAGAAAACAATATGTATAAACAAAAGAATTTGTGGGAAACTTGCTTCTCCAGACCAGTTCTTCTGGCATCCTTTTCTTATAGAATTGGTGCCCCACAAATACTGTTTGCATCCTTCACTAAACTTAGCCTTTAGGTGACTGCAGCAAGAAGGTAGCAGTCGTGAAGCAAAGAAATCAAATGTTTTACCTGTCTCCTGCTGTACTGAATTTTCCTGTTTTGTCAGGTGACAAAACCTTCCTTTGCTGTGAGTTGGTGTTGTGTCTCTCTGTCTGCAAGCTGCCCTCAGTGTGGTTCCAGTGCCTGGTCTGAGCGGCAGTGTACCAGATGATCTTCAGCCTTTGCTGTTTCATGGGTCTCACTTGAGGTTTCTTGTTGGGGCAGAGCCTGTTCTATGCACTCTGATTCTTCTCCATCTCTTTGAATGTTACTGGTCACCTTAGCAGATGGTAAAGATAAAGGGAGGGATTTCGTAGTTGCTTAAATAAAGTGTTTGTTTGTTTGTTTGTTTTACTAGATTACTCCCTTCTCCCTTCCCCCTGGTCTTTAGCATGTGGTAAGCTCCCTGAATCTCCTCTAGCACTAATTACTTGCTTCTTGCAACATATAAAAGGATGTAATAGGTGTCATTTAATATTCTTCCATTCCTGCATTCTTTTTCTGATTCCTTTCCATAAGAAAGGACAAAACTTTTTCTTTCCTCTCTTGGTTTTACCTTTTACCTGTGTCTATGGTGGTCATTAAAATAAATGGTTATTCCTGCAATCAGAATCCCCAGATTGCACCTTCTCACACATCTCCCTGGGCCTTTGAGCTCATCCCTGAGTTTAAGTAGCAGAAAAATGTTTGTGCTGATCCCGCATGAGCCCATAAATTACTCACTTGATAGGCACATTATCTACAAGACCCAGTGAGTTTCTTCATGGCAGCCTGTGAACAATACTAAGGTGAGGTGATTCAGACTGCAAACAGTTACTCAAGCTCCTTCATGCCCGGAGGGTAAGTCAGGCCTTCCAGCAGACTAGGGAAGAATGGTGTATGCAAGGTTCTGAACCTTTTTTTGTGTTATGCTGCTTGCTGGCTGAAGCAACATAGGTCTAAGCAAGGTGAGCTCTAACTTAATACAAACATATCTCCTGGAATGGAGTTCTGCTACTCCTTATGGTTTCAAACAACTTGTCAGCTTTCCCACCCCAAAACCCATGATAGGGTAGAATTGTTAATACATATGGTGACTAAGGTAGTTGTGTGGTGGAGTGTAGGAATGGTTTAAAAAAAATAATTCACTAAAGGACTGTACCTTGTCAGATGTAAGCAGATGATAATTAATCGTACAGCATTTATCCTACCGCATGTAGTTACTCTATTGTAATCAAGTACTACGTTAAACAGATCTGACCTTATTGTTCTGTTGCTAATTCTCTTTTAATTCTAGATTTGGATATCAAAACATCAGGGACTGGCTGTGTGAAGATTCAGAAAATTGAATGCAGTAACTGCAAAATAGAAACCGAGAAGGGGACTAGTGTCTTGCAGTCAATAAAGGTACAACAAACATTTCTTTATTCCATTAGTGTTTTAAAAGGGACTGTGCGATGGAATGTGGCATAAAAAATAAAATACTGGGTGCCAGTTCTAGAGATTAAAAACCCTTTGGTATTTCTAATTGTTACTATGTGTGTAGTACCTTGCCTTTCTTACTGCATACAATTATGATACAAGGTCAATAGCCATAAGTAACATGAAGTAGGAAGTCCAGGCACCTTTGATAGCTGAAGAAAGCAGAAACAGTGGTGCTGCTGTGTGTGTGTGCGCACGAGAAAAATAAAGTCTGGGAATTCCTTTCTCTGAACAGCAAACTAATAGTTATGTTTGCTCGTTTGGGACTATGAAGTGCTTCACAGCATGCATTATCTCTTTCTTTAACCAGAAATTTTTTTCTTAATTCTGATGTATCAGTGCTATTGACAAACTCGTTAGATTAATGTGTAACTTGAAATTGAAATTACATGTCCTAAGTACCCAACTGAAAATACTGATAAATACTGTATATGACAGGGTCATGACCTTGTTTTTTTGATCTTAAGACTTCAGGTTTCCTGACACATTCTTTTGTGGGCATAATGAAAGAATAAGTACCTTAGGTGCTGTTTGGAATAAATTTCACTTAATTAACATTGTACGTGCAGCAATTAGTATAAACTCAAAAGATTTTTTTGTTTCTTTTCTAAAGCGTTTCTGAGATATAGAAAACCTTTCAACATTTTTCATTACTGTGATAAGAGAGGATTATATAGTATGCACGGGGAAACTCAGCTTACTGGGAAATTTAACAGAAAAAATTAACGTAGAGTCAGGTTTACTCCATGTTCAGTGACCTACAAACAATCTGTATTGTCCAGATTCTGTGTAGTTGAACATAACTTCTTGTCAGATTTTTTGTTACTTTTTAACAATACTGTATGTTACAGATGTTGTGAAACTGGTTAAAAATGAGGACTCTATATTAATAACAGTAAGTGAAAATTTGAGAAATTGCATAATATGAGAAAAAGCAATTTTAGCCAGCATTATTGACAGTAATCACAGGATGCCATCTCAACTGGCAAAATTTTTTGTGATGTCATGGAGAAAGTTGTCTTCCCTCAAAATCCTAACTAACCTGGTGGCCGTCTTTTCTCAGATACTTGAAAGATAAGAGACTTTTGAAATTTAACATTTTGGCATTCAGAATATATTTTCATTTACATCTCCAAGCAATTTGGAAGAGAAGAAGGTTATGAGGAGTAGTCAGCATGGATTCACTAAGGGGAAATTGTGCTTGACGAACCTCATTGCCTTCTATGATGGCATCACCAGCTGGGTAGATGGGGGGAGGACAGTGAATGTCATCTGCCTTGACTTTAGCAAGGCTTTCCAATACTGTCTCCCATGACATCCTGCTAGCAAAGCTGAGAAAGTGTGGGATAGGTGAGTGGACAGCAAGGTGGGTTGAGAACTGGCTGACTGGCCAAACTCAGAGGGTGGTGATCGGCAGCGCAGAGTCTGTCCGGAGACCTGGGACTAGCCATGTTCCCCAGGGGTCAGTGCTGGGTCTGGTCTTGTTCTACATCTTCATTGATGACCTTGATGAGGGAAGAGTGTCCACCCTCAGCAAGTACACCAGTGATGCAAAGCTGGGAGGAGTGGCTGACATGTCAGAAGGCTGTGCTGCTGCTGCCATTCAGCGAGACCTGGACAGGCTGGAGGGATGGGCAGGAAGAAACCAAATGAAGTTTAACAAGTGTAGAGTCCTGCACCTGGGAAGGAACAATTGCATATATCAGTACAGGCTGGGGGATGACCTGCTGGAGAGGAGCTCTGCAGAGAAGGACCTGGGGGTTCTGGTGGACAGGTTGACCATGAGCCAGCAGTGTGCCCTGGGGGCCAAGAGGGCCAATGGGACCCTACTGTGCATTAAAGAAAGGGAGTGTGGCCAGCAGGTCAAGAGAGGTGATCCACTCCCTCTACTCTGCCCTGATCAGGCCTCACGTAGGGTGTGGCATCCAGTTCTGGACTGCCCAGCACAAAAAAGACAGGGATCTCCTGGAAAGAGTCCAGTGGAGGGCCACAAAGATGATATGGGGCCTGGAGCATCTCCTCTATGAGGAAAGGCTGAGAGACCTGGGTCTGTTCAGCCTGGAGAAAAGAAGACTGAGAGAGGATCTTTTTGATGTTTACATGTATCTTAAGTGTGGGAGACAAAGGGATTTGGCCAACCTCTTTTCAGTGGTTTGTGGGGACAGGACAAGAGGCAATGGCCACAAAATGGATGACAGGAAGTTCTGCACCAACATGTGAAAGAACTTCTTCATGGCCAGGGTGAAGGAGCATTGGAACAGGCTGCCCAGGGCGGTTGTGGAGTCTGTAGGACCTGAAACCCTGATCATGTCATCAGCTATGCAGCCAATCATTCACCTGATTTGTACATTGTCTCCTCCTTGGGTCCCAGTCTCCAAGTGGGAGGAGCAAGGAGAGCACTGCTTGTGCTCCCCATCCTTTCAACATCTTTCAAAGGGATATAAGGTCCCTTTTGATGTTTTGTAGTTTCCTTGTTGCAACCTCACTCTTCCCTACATGAGAGGGTAGAAATGGGTGGCAGTCCTGTGGCTTAACCGAACTTGGTAGCCTCTGTGATGTGGACGCAAGAGAGAATGTCTGGGCGGCAGATGGGTGCTTCAGTGCCTCTCAGAGTGCAGTCTCCAATCACCAACCCCGTTTGTGCTTTTTTTGTGGCACTGGTTCTTATGTTCTTATATATATGTGGTTTGCTGGTCCATGTTTATACTGTTACCCTTTCCTGGGGCTTGTTTTTATTATATTCTCTCTCTTTTTTTTTTTTTTTAATCTTTTCCCCCAGAGCATCGTACCTATTGCATAGGGCTATTTCAGGGGCAAGGGGAAGATTCCTCCTCCTGCTCCAAGCAGAGATGACGGTCTAGTTTCCCTTGTCTGTGTGGTGGTTTTACCATGCTAGGCAGCTGAACTCCACCACAACCACTCTCTCACTCCCCTCCTCAGAAGAGGAGGGGAAGAAGTAAAGGAAAGAACAACGCAGGGTTGAGTTGAGGATAATTTTAATTAAAGGGGAAAATAATTATTATTAAGGAAAGATTATTATTAAACAATTTAACTAAAGGGAAAACGGAGAAGGGAGAGGGGAAGGGAAAAAAGTTGCAACCACCGTTGGGAAGGACCATTGGAACAGAGCGGTGAGGGTCTCTCCCTGCGCCAACTGCCATGCCACACCCTGACCGCCCCTTCTGGCTGCTGAGTTTTCTAGGGGCTGCCTTTGTATGGCTGGGGAGGGGGCACTGCTGGCTCTGTCCATGCCCCCTCAGCTGCCTCGAGTGGCCTCAATGCTGGAAAAAAGAAGCCTTGCCCACCTCCATCCCCCTCTCCGCCACAGAAGGTGTCAGTCCCGGAGCCGATCGCCTCAACGAGTGGCTGCAAAATGGCGGCGACGCCTGAGGTAAATGGCCTGCCGCTGCTGGCTCTGCCTTGTCAGCCTCCCTCACGAGAGATGCCAGGCTCTGGCGCTCAATCCCGTGCTCTCCTGCAGAAGGTGTCTGCCCCTGAGTCTATCACCTCAGATTGTTGATGATATTAATGGCCTTGATTTTGGAAGCAGCACAAGGTACTGTGCTTTTCAGTTGGTGCAACGCTTCCTTCATCTGTGCCCTGTGAAAGGGCTGGTCCAGATAGCCTTTTTCACACGTCTTCACAAACACAGTTTATCTGCATCTGAGAAACTGGTGACAGAAAATACACATGTTTAGAGACCAGAAAGAAGAGACTGCCTTCAACAGAGAAGGAAAAGCAGAAGTGTTTATCAAGTTCTACTTGCATTTGTGTTTGTCACATTATAGAAATACTTTTTGAATGACAGGTTGTACATAATACAACTTTATGTGCTCTTGATGGCAAAGCTCCATCTTTTCCACCGTTTTCACAGGTGGCAACTACATTTTTAAATGCAACTACACCGTGAAAATAGAAATTTAGACAGTATGGTGGACTGGTGTCTAATTTTAAAAAATTCTAAACTTGCACTGGAAGATACCTCTAGCTAAAAGCCAGCACAACTTTTACCCTGTTAGAAATGATGTTGACTTGTACCTTTACATAGCATATATAGTGTCCTGTGCAACAGTTGATACCGTGATGTACTAGCACCGCATATAAGGCATAGAGGAGTGGTTCTCCAATTGACTGAGACATGTAGGCTCGAAGGTCCAAATACTCAGAATATTTAACCTCCTGAAAAATGCATTTAATTGCCCAGGCTTGGAGTTTATTGGGGTCTTTGAATTAACCTAATACATGAATTCTAATACAAGAATTAAACTGCAGAAACAGAACCTCAACACCATGCTCATGATTTGTGGGCCTATTCCTCTGGGCTGTAAATCGAGCCTTTGTTATCCAGAATTTTGTCTTTACAAGGCAAGCATTTGCGTGTGTTTTCAGACAACTATTAGATTGTTTCTAGCAGCTCAGCATGTATTTGAAGTTATCACCTTATGCCAAACTCTTCTCTGTGTACCAACATCTAAACCTGTTTCTTAAGTCCCACTGACGTCAATGAATGTGCTTAGCTGAGGAAGGAGGCACTGAACAACTTGGGACAATGTCCCAAGCCCTGTTTGTATCCAGAGTAACTTGTTCTCTGTGAGAAACCAGTGCACAAAACCTTCACTTTACAGCGGGATTTAGTGCAACATGTAACAGTTTTCCATATTTCTGCCACTGTCGTTGAGACATCACAGAAGTATGAACGTGAAACCCCATTAATTACCACATTCAAAAAACACTGTATAGGACGTAATTCTAAAACCATTGTTATGCACTGCCAAATGAGAGCAGCTATCAGGATCTTGCGAAACAGCAGGAGCATCCGCAGAACATCAGGATCTTGCCGTACCAAGTAGTACTGGAGTAAGAGCCAAAGCAGATAAGGATCTGCATCTCGGTATACCTGCCGAATGATATAATTGTTACTTGAT